AATGTAGAGAAATAGTTTTAGGTATAGAATGAATGTAAAAGAATCTTGTCACTTGGAGTTGGTCGTTTCCGGTCACCTTCTCCGACTAGGTAACTTTGTTTTTATGTTTAAAACCTAAAATTTTCTTCTTTTTATCATCAAAACACTTTTTATAAAACATATATAAATAGTTTGGACGTAAAGATTTGTACAAATTGTATAACGCTATCGTGACCCATTTTCCGGTTGCCTTCTTTAACGGTATTCAAAAACTTGTTTCAAAACCTTTTTTTTTTCTTCGCATACTCTTATACAATCTTTATATAATCCTTTTGGGAAATATTTTAGATAATTTGGATGTAACGCATGTTTAAAGTAAAAGTCGGTGGTGTTCCTGATTATTAGTGACGGAAATTAAATCAATTGAATATATAACAAATATAGCATATATCAACGTATTATATTAAGTAACAATTGTTATACGGGCGGCGGCACTCACCTTAACGTTGAATCGAATTGCTATGACGTTAGTGAGATACTCTAAAACAATTCCGGCAATACCTTCGGCAAACCACCCTTAATTTGTATATATTCAACCAACTCAACTTTGAGTTAACCCTTTAGAGGTACTTAAAATTTTCTAGGATTATAATAGAGTAGTTGAGTAGTATATATACATATATACTCCGTATATACGTAGGTTTGTGGTGTGGGCTTAGGTTCTAGCACTATTTATAGAGTATATATTTACCTTTCTTAATTGTGAAGAAAAATGATGAACTTGATAACTATGAAGTAACATCCTCAAATGATGATGGTACAACACGTGTCATTTGCTACCATAAGATTAGTGTTTCCTCCCTTTTAGTCGGTTAAAAATAGATAAATATATATATATTTAGTTTATTCTATAATTATCTTACTTCTCTCAATAAACTTTGTTTTAATTTTATTTTTATTCCAAAAATATTTTCGTTGATATTTTCATAATTAATATGTCAATCTTAATTAACTGATATAATTATTTCATTATTCTAATTTCTATTCTAAACGGGTACAATCACCAAACAATTATCTTTTTATCAAAAACAACTAGACCGGTTTTTGGGGCGTTACAA